ATTTAATTTCACAAGTACACCTTCCATCATCTGTTAACAAGCTACCCAAATATTTAAAACATTTCACATTCTCCACTTGTTTTTGGTCTATCTTTATTGTGACTGGGGTTGGTTGTCTCGAAATTTTCATTACTTTTGTTTTCTCCACATTCATTTCCATGCCATAGCACCTTCCAATTTCAATTAGTCTATATTAAGAGTATCATTAACAATTATTATTAACAAATTTAGGTTCAGTGTCATTGACAGAAACTGTTCTGATTGCAAATATGTCGAGATTTTTACCCACCGCGTTGGCAGCATAGGCACACCGAGCAGAAGGATAGATTTTATTAGAAGGACAAACACCAAACAATGAGAAGTCCCTAAGATTGCTAGGAGGAACACGAAGGCTAACATTTTCTAAAAGAGAAGAGCAGGATTTAAGACCACGAAAGACCTGAACAAGAAAAGGTGCATCAAGGTGATGTCTCTGTTTATGTAAAGACTGTAGACTTAATTTCTCTAAAAAGTAAGTAAAGCAAAGCTACTTTAAAAGTAAAGTGAATGCCCATAGGGTTGTGAGGCGTTGAGGATCCCACACTATCTAGACCAGCCGTGTCAAACATGCGGCCCCCATAGCCACAAAGTGCGGCCCCTCAACTTTTAGATCTAATTGATATCAAAATCAATATTAAAATTTTAGTAGAAATATTTTTTGTAAAGACAATTTTCCAGCAGACCAGAAGACAAGAAGTCTCACACAGACATAAATTAGCAGGCTGCAGGAAATTCAATATTTTGCTATTTCTAACATAATTTCTTGTGTAATCTCTCTTGTTACATATTGAAAAGCTGTTTGATACTTGTCAAAAATGGCATTCTCTTGCTTTTTAAAATTGTAAGATATGTGACTTTAGGTAATTATATTGAAATTATTCCTAAATAATAAATATAATTAAATTTCCTTGTATCAAAATCTAATGTATATTTCTATTTTGAAGTGTGGCCCTGGACTATTATTTATAGGGCTGAGGTGGCCCTCTCTACAAGTTGAGTTTGACATGCCTGATCTAGACAGTCGGCTCAAAGATGGCAGTAAGGTTGTCAGCCTTACGCGCCGGCCGCGCTTTACTCCCAAGAAAAAATATTTAATTAATTCCTTGTACTCATTTCTGTTAGAGGCTGAGTAATCCCCAGGGCCTAGTGCGGCTGGAAGGATTAGGTCAACTGAAAAAAATCCAATGACCTCATCGGGACTTGAACCCGCGACCTTCCGACTTGTAGCATAGCCCATCAACCATTACGCTACCGCGTGCCCTCAAATACAATTTCTCTAAACTGGGTCCACTCGGCACGGCGTCCTCTGATTTGCCTATTGTAGCCTGCCCCGGGTGATTATGTTGATAGAGAATTTGGTGGAATGAAGATTGGCAGGGAAAACCTTAGTACTCGGAGAAAACCCGCCCCAGCGCCACTTTGTCCACCACAAATCCCACTTGACTAGAACCGGGATCGAACTCGGGCCGCCGCGGTGGGAAACCTGCGAATAACCGCTTGATCTGTGGCGCGGCCTACACATTCATTTACTAGTGATGAATAACAACCGATAGTCGCTGTACTTTCACTTGGCACGAAATCAGCAAGAATGTCCCCGATGTTGTCCCGCAAGGCATTAGCCATGACTTTTTCAGTAAGATGAGCGGTTGAACTATTTCACTGTTTCGGGTGCGCTTCCAGCGCGACGCTTTCATGCTTTTCAAGCGCAGAGATGTGTCTAGGTTTCACTACAAGTTGTCATACCTTTCTCTTCCTCACAGTTCTGTAGACAGATATCTAGTACTTTCTTTGCTCTCACAGTCAGTTGTTGTCATAGGCGAGGGTGGGGTCAAGCCACGCATCTGTTCAACATCCTACATTTTTGGAGATAAATACAAATTGGGGGAAAAATTAAACATACCAAATATCACGCGGTAGCGTAGTTGGTTGAGGCACTATGCTACAACCTGGAAGATCGCGGGTTCGATTCCCGATGTGGTCACTGGACTTTTCACTTGATCTAACCCTTCCAGCCACACTGTGACTCTGGGGTCGACTCAGCTGAAAACCTCACAGCCATCTGTGAGCCGATTGTCTAGAAAATGTGAGCCCTATGGGCCTCCACGGCCTGTTACAGAGATACCTTTTACCAAATATCAATAACAGAAACCAGAAATATTTTAAGAAAATTATTATTATATTCTGAACACTCGTGGGCGATCAGTAAAAATAGTTCAAGTGAACGCCTTAAACTTATGTTTGTAAGCAAATTCTCCCCCCCCCCTTTCCAGAAAACCTCCAGGCGGCCCCAGTGTTTACGTTTTTGAACCCAAGGTGCTCCTGAAAATTTTTCCCCCGGACTCACGTGGTCAGCAGTTCTAGGGCTGGTGATATTTCCCTTAGAGGCCTCGACATGTCCTTTTGATTAATTAATTCAGAGGTGGCGGAGCAAAAGTAAGTGCGACATTCCACTGGACACTATCCCTCGTTTAATCTGATCACTGAAAAATCTCGTCTGCTGTAAACTTCAAGACATGGATTTGCCTTTTTGCAAATATGTCTATGTATTCCCATCATCACTACGTCCAACAAATAACTGACTATTAAGATTGATACATCTGCCGCTAAATTACTGACGCATGCAGCATGGAATACACGTACACCAGCTCTCAAATTAATTCCAAGCGCAACAGTAGAGAAACGATACAACCCTGATATATATTTCAAGATTCTGGTACCGTAACATTCACGAGGTCATAACCTCACAAGAAAACTTCACAGCATCCAAGATACTAGTAATTTCATTTATTTTTAATCATAGAATTTTACGTTCAGTAGCAACGAATTCTGACGTTACACACATGATTACTGGTCGGTTGATGAAGAAGGGGGGGGGGGATAAAACAGGGCATATGCCCTCCCTCCTGGGTTTTCACCAAAAAATCAAAATTGAAAGAATAGGGAAATTACCAAATATTAAAAACAAAATTTTCAATTATGTTTTAATAGTTTTACATGTACATCCATTGCTAGGCAATGAGTTGGCAAACGAGTTCCCGCGAAGACAAATTCTTGGAATGCAGTCCGTTGCTAGGTTGCGCAACAATATAGGAAGCTGTTCTGTATGTCGTTCGCGCCAAGCAACAGTAGAACAACGCGGTTGTGCAATCCGTTTCTAAGCAACGGAACTGTAAACACATCTAAAATCATAGCTGTTCTCTATGGATTCCGTGCAGAAGGTTTATAGGGGACAGTGAAGGTCGTTTACAGTTAGTCGTAGCTAGTTGTAACTAGTCATAGCCGAGGACCCTTGAGTCCAAGTCACGAAGCCGTCATGGAGGGGAGTTGTGAGGATTCAGCTGTGAAGTGTTAATGGACGTTGAAGACTTTATGTGTGCCGTAGTGCAGTTATATCTAGAGTGATTTGAAGCGCTAGTTCTTGTGTTTTCATTCCGTTACCAGGAGAGGACTAATGTGTGTGTATCAGTGGATTATGAAGTGTAGAAACAGCGATAGCGCTGCACCAATTGTAATTAAGAGTGTGTAACCGAAGTGCTAATAA